CATCATTGCTTGCAGCGTGATCCCGATACCCGCGGGACAGCTAGCATGGTTGCGCAAGACAGTTCTCTTTGAACTCCCGGTGGTGATACAGCACATATGCATTATCACGGCTGATACCCATTCTCATGCATGACATGGTCTTTTGATGTTGTTCACCGCTACCGTGCTTGCTTCTTTGAGCAATCTGAGCGGTACCTTGGTTTTCTGCCACTCAAATCCTGGCCAAATCGGTTTACCAGTTATTTTTGGTTTTACCTGGTATTGTTCTCAGATCTTTGAATAACCAGGTAGTAAAACCTATACCCACAAGAATGTAGATAGATAAACGGTTCCCCAGGTACGGGAAAAGGAACAACAATTTTGTGAACCCCCCTCCATCCCAACTTCCCTGGCCTCTATTGAGCCATTCTCTTTTCGGATTCAATCCCCGCCGTGACTTGCGTCACCTGCAAGGTGACGTCGAAGCGAGGTCGTTTGGGTGGTGGTGTTTCGGCCTGGCCCTGGATGATTCATACACCTATTGGGTTAGATTCGAGAACCACCAATAGGTAAAAAGGTGCCTGCCATCGACCCCTCTATGGTTCACGTTACTTTAATTGAAAAGGGCTGGACTCTTTTCTAACCCAGACTTCAGCGCCTCAAGGCCTCACGGCTGGGCTCCTCTGCCTGGCAGCGTTTCTTTGTCAAATCCTCTTCATACGTGGATATCGGGCGAAAGACTAATCGAACCATCAGGATAGCTGGCTCCTTCCAACGTTTCCGTCAGGATAGCTGGAGTTGAACAGTTTTACGATGTTTTTATCAGACAAAGCAACTGATCACAGGGGGCGGGGGCATGCTGTCTTCAACCTATTCTCAATCTTTGAACGGGTAAGATCCACAGTGGTTGCTTTGAACTTCTGGGATAAAAGACAACTCTTAGTGGGTCGTTTTTGGCAAGCAGAACTGGCGATGGGGGACAAAGCGAACATTTGGCCAAGGTGCTTAACTGCACGCTCATCAGATACCACAAATTTGTTGGTTCATTTGACGGGAAGCTAAGGAGTGTGTACCAACAAACCTGCCAAATGGACTGGCCCTGAAAAGGGATGGAGCTCAAGCGGGCGACCAAAGCCCAACTACTAACGTGAATACGTTGCAGTGTGTAGGAGAGCAATGCACCTTTTGGCGTGAGCCTGAGAGAATCAGCGCAGATCTTGGTGGTAGTGGCAAGCATTTCAAATGCGAACTTTGAGGTCAAAGTGGAGAAGGGTTCCATGTGAACAGCAATTCAACATGCCTTAGTCCATCCGAGGAGGGAGGGATGTTCCACATAATATGCGTTCGCTTCGTTCCTCGCCAGGGAATCGCGTGATGTTTCGCCGAATTCGGAGCTACAGCCGCCAGGTGGCAGGAGGGTGACCTTCAAGGAGGAAGTGAAGGACCGGGGGTTGGGGTGCATTTCAGGCCACCTGGTCCGTCTCCAGGTGTTTGGAGCTTCAAGCCAGAATTGAGGTGACAAGTCTGAAACCAGCTGCTTGAGTTGCAGCACTCTGCACCTCCTAAGTGGCTTGAGGATGTCGAGGGATCACACCAAAGGTCCTTGTGGTGCCAACAGACACAAGCAGGACCGTACCATCCAAGGAACGCCAAACGGAAACCAGTTTGGGCAGTGTGGGGACGCCAAAGAGTAGTCCACCAGAGCGAACCTGTCACGGACTGGTAGAGTGCTTCTGCTCTCTTGACCCGGTGGATGATTTCCAAGCCGAGCAGGGGCAACTCCCCAACAACATCTCTTTCTTTCCCAAAATTTCTTCACCCATACTCAATAGTCATATTCTATCCATCGTCATTTTCTATAATTCATGTCTATTCTGTTCCTTTTGTTCCAAAGGACCACGTCCTCTCACTCGGACCTGCTTGGACTTGAGCAGCGTGCGCAGGTCACCCTCTTCAAAGGGATCAGCGGTAGGCCGCAAAGGCCTGTCACCGGCCGATATCGGGGTTAGCCCCCGTCACCGTCTCTAGGTTGAAGCAAAAACTGCAGAAACAATGAATCCAAACATTAGCCGATTTCAATGAAGAAAAGCACAGACTCCAACTTCTCAGCCTCTGTTTGTCAAGCGGTGCTTCCATGTGCGGCCGCCCAGATGCTCCGTGAAAACGTCTCGGACATCTGTCCACCCAAGATCGGTGTGAACCCCCACACCCCCCAGCAGAATCCAGAGCCTTTTGGCTTTCGACTAGTGGCCAACCCACCCCGCTTTCTGCCGGCTCGTTGGTCAGGAGCTTGAAGGCCAGGACCCTGGTTTATGTGCGTGAGATGGGCGGGGCAGCTAAATGGTGGTTTAGTCGCCAATCACCCTTCAACGGTCCACGTGGAGGGCGAACGGGCTCAGAATTCCAATCTTTGTTTGGACAGAAATTGAGATGGGCCATTCAACCTGGTGCCCCAGCTCCACGTAGCTTAAGACCTCCCAGGTAGGTCAACTAAAGTTACCCGACGTTAGGTTCTATTTGCAAGTCATGTTGCCAAGGCGTCCGGGTTTTAAGACCCAAAGCCAAATGTCTTTGGAACAATGTGAACAGAACTCGCAAGAATCGCAGATATGAATAGAATATGAGTATTGAGTATGAGTGAAGAGATTTTGGACAAGAACGAGATGTTGTTGGGGAGTTGTGCCTGCTCGGCTTGTAAATCATCCACTGGGTCAAGAGAGCAGAAGTGCTACCAGGAAAGCGCCAGGAAAAATTTGTGAAACGTTCGCCCTGGTGGACAGGGGCAATCGACCCACGCACTTCCATCCCCTTTGTGAATGCGTTTTGGGCGTTCTGCGTTCGGCCGAGGAAGTTCAGCAGGCCATCGATGTGAAGACGGGGTAGGTCACTGCAGTGTCCAAAGAGCCGGCCTTGCGCGTATATACAGGCGATCCTTAGTAGTCACCTGAGGGCGTTGCAGCAAAAAAGCTCCCTTTTCAGTCTTTTTTCCAACTCTGTAGTTTCTTCGAAAGTTCGTGGAATGGCTGTGTGTTTGTTCTTATTGCTGCTGTCTCAACGTCAACATTGCTCTGGAGCATAGACGGCAAAGCGTTTTGTGCGTTTGCAGCGCGGTTTTGCTATTTTTGTGGGGCTTCCTTCAGGGCCGGAGGGGACATCGGCCTGACGTGTGCATGTGTGGGGCTACGACATTGTTGCGCTATGGGCATCGAGCGGTGCGTGAGAGGTGGGTGTGTGGGCTGGGGATGTGCTGCACTTTTGACATACCTGGCATGTGTGTGGGCAGTGGGGGGCGCTGAATGAGACCGGTGCTAGCAAAGACATCATCAGTTGCCTGTGATGCAGTTGAAGGCGTCCAACTGCCTGCCTGCTCGAATGCTAAAGTTCATTTCCTTCTCGGAATTAGAACAGTCATTCCAGCCTTTGCAGCGGTTCCTTCACTGCAGTCACCAGTTGCTGTCGTTTTCGAGGCTTTTGGCAACTTTTGCAACCTTGTGATGGTCCTACCGAGTGATCCGCTTTACTTACAACCCGTTTTACCCAGGCAATTTTTTCACTTAGACTTCTTCAGGGCTTGGGGGGATCAGTTCAGTACGCAATAACATCTTGAGTGGAGTGGGATGGGAGAAAGACTCTCAGAGCACACTTGTACAATACATGTATGCACGCGCATTGAAGAACGTAGCGTCGCGATTGAAGTGAAGTCGTGGCTGGCAGAGCTTGCCCGAAGACTTGCGTTGGAACCTGTTCTTCGTGAACGTTCAAACAGTTTGCTGGTTACTCAAAAGGTGCACAGTTGGCTTTTCATTGCAGCAAAGCGCATATTTTTTGAAGCGCCCCTAGTCAGGTGGAGACATCCATGACACCGTTGGACGAAAATATCAAAGTATCCCAGTGAGGCTAAAAGGTTGCAAGATATGCGCAAATCGAGGAACCCTTACAAACCCTCACGGCCATCTATGAGCCCTGGGCCTAGTTGCTGTAGACCCTTCGCCGCTTCGAAGCTTAAGGTTGCCCACCATCTCTGTTACGAAAGCCAGCCTTCGCAGAAGGCGCCAGCTGAGTTGTGTTTGGCGAACGAAGTGAGTAAGTAGGGGGTCGGGGGGGGTGGCCCGAGAAAGTATCACGTAAATTCGAAATTAGGTGGCAGAGAGGGGTGCCCGGAAGTAAGGTTTTTGAGGTTGAGTTTTTGTGATTTGGTGACGCAAGAAATGCAATTTGCATCATTTGCATCGTCTGAATGGTAAGGTGTAGCTGGCGCCTTGCCAGGTATAGATGCCCAAGGTAGCTACAATTCAGTTACCAGGTATAGTACTTCAAGTTCCCTTTCCGTCAACCGCTCGATAACCTTTACACACGCGCCTCAAAAAAAAATTGTAGCTATACTGGGCCCGTATAAATGCAATGTTGCTTTACCACTTACACACCTATATAATACCTGGTAACTGAATTGTAGGGGTGCGCGGAAGCAAGGTTTTGGAGGCGCTTTTTTGTGGTTTGAGAAACGCAATTGTCTTCGGTTGCTTGAAGTGCTATACTTGGCAACTGAATTGTAGCTACCCTGGGTATACCTGGCAACTGCCTTGTAGCTGCCCTGGGTCCGCGCGCGCGCGTGCCTAAATCTAGGGCAGCGGGGAGCCAGCAAGGCGCGCGCGCGGACCCAGGGTAATAAAATTGAAGTGCGATACCTGGCAACAGAATTGTAGCTACCCGGGGTCCGTATAAATGCTATGTTGCTATACCTCTTACAACCTATATAAGTTCAAAGCACGAATGAGATTTCAAACCTGCGGATTGCTGCGCGTGTGTAAAGGTTATCGAGCGGTTGACGGAAAGGGAACTTGAAGTACCATACCTGGTAACTGAATTGTAGCTACCCTGGGCATCTATACCTGGCAAGGCGCCTGCTGAGTAAGAAGAGGGTTTCGGGGGGGGTGGCCTGAGAAAGCGCGCTCGAAAGTAGGTGGTGTGCAGGGGCATGCTGCCTTTGGCCAACACCGTGCTCGTGGACAAAAACGCTGGCTTTCGGTTTGCTGCTTCTCAGGTGTTGCTGTTGGAATGCCTTTGCGGAAACTTGTGTTGGGGCAAGTGACACGGTCACGTCTGCAGCTGGCTCTGTCAGCTGCGTGCCTGTAGCTCCCGGCTCATCTCATTCACCGGTCTCGACCTGCGGCTTGCAAAATGCGAAGGAGAGGCGGGTTTTGAGAGGGCTTGGGGCGATGCCTTTGCAAGACGCAACAAGTCAGTTGAGCTTCTGGTTGGTTTTTGCAATCAACTGTGCTGTGTATTGAATCGACGTCCCTCAAACAAATGTGGAAGTGGCGAATACTCTCAACACACTGACGCTTTGCAACCGCTTTCAACGGCAATCTTCCAAAAGGCCTCTCCACACTCCACATTACTGTTTGTTGTCCAATTTCTTGGAACTATCGCGTTGGAAAACCAGTTCTGGGAGGTACCGTACCGCGCAGTCTGCCGCGCGGTTCTTGCAAATTTCTTGTTGGGCACGTTTGAGGGGTGCAGTGTTTCTTGCGCTCCCCTCAATGATGCTTTTCCCCACGTGTCAGGTGAGGGTTGTTGAGTTTTAAAGATAGTCACCTCTTTCCTTCTCCGCCGCCTGCCAAAACACAACCACAAACACTAACGCAATATGCAACTAACAAAACACAACCACAAACGTGCAACACGCAAGACACAACCAACAAAACACAACCACAAACGCGCAAGCAAAAACACAATGTTCGAGCGCCGTTGATAACAAATTCATGTAGCGCGCCCAACGACCATGACAACTGCCTGGCCTGGCGCCTCGGTGCCGTAGCCAGACTCGTAATAGTCGCTTGAAAACTGCTAGTGCCATGCTGCGCGTTCGTGCGTGCTTACACTGGGCGTCCACACTGCGTGCTCGGGGCGTGCTCCTGCCGTCAACAACGAGTGAGCGCCGTTGGAAACAAAAACTCATGAAGCGCGCCCACTTTCCACGCGACTTAGGACCCCCGGCCCGGCGTCTCGACGCCTCTAATAAATCTGATCCTCTAAAATTTTGGTTTGTAACTTCTGAGCACTGCCACAACTACATCCACAACCACCACAACCATCACACACAACCATAACCACAACACGCAACCGCAACCATAACGCACAACACACAACGCGCAACACAACGGGGCATTTTGCGTGGCAGGTGGTCACAGGGTCGCACTTTGGATAGGACGCCAGTTGTAGACCCTGGCGACACCCCGACGCAACTCCCCAACACTAAAGCAACAACCGCAATCCCGAGGAGCCACAAACAAATTCGAGAACCACAAAGCCCCCAACCATGGCAACGTGCGCTTCACCATGGCATGAAAACAATTCATTGACATGCCACGGTGGAGATCACTCGAAGTAAAGCAAATTTCTTGACAGCTCTACCATTGGCTGCCGTTTTTGAAGGCCCCTTGATCCCAAAATTTCACAACAAAGCCAATGTTTGTTGGGGCCCTCTGGTTCAGGTATTCATGTATTCTGCATGTGGGTGATGACTTCTTCGGCTTGACGTCGGAATCCTCGGACCTTTCTTTGTCAGAAACACAGACACCACCCTTCCCTTTGGTTACTGGTCAAGCACCAGCTCACCACTGCAGCCCAGGTTCGTTCGCTATGTGTAGGGCATCATGCGCAGATTGAGGCGGGTGTTGCCAGATTCACAGTTCAAGAAGGGTGATCAGGCCGAATGGGTTCCAAATATTTGCAAATAGAGTGTAAATAAAGTATAGTGGTCATTCATTCAAGGTCACGAAGAACTTGGGCGGGTCCAGAGGGACCTGAGTTCATTCCCACCAGATCTGACGAGAACATGCCATTTTTGCGGGACCGGCGAAAGAGTGCCAAGTATTCCCAAAGGCTATTCCCTTCTACGCAATATAGCGTTTTTCTTTCCAGCGTTCCCCTGGCTTTTAAACATGTTTTCTCACATCGTGACGGGGCCCAAACTGAGGTCACCAATCCAGCGAGGTTCCATCCGTTGGTCTGTAAGCCATTGGAGTGGGGCAAAGCGGCGGCCCAACGGATGATGGAGCGGGGACGACTTGGAAAGATATCGAAGGAGTTGGAACATTGCCCACTCTTCATCTCCAGCTAGGATTACCATGAAGATCATACCTATATATAGCGCATCCTCCAAAACCCTTAGTGTAGATGAGGAATCGCCGAAATGCGCGTTCTGACCCTATCAGGAACTGAAACAGGTAAACCGGACACGGTCAAAGCAGTTTTTGTGGCATCGTGGACAGCATTTGGTCACCGTAGCATCGTCTTGAACCGTTGAAGAGGCGACATCTAGACATCTAGACAGAACAATCACACGAACTGCGCCCATAGGGGTCTGGTGTTGTTCTACTGTACCACGCGCCCAAGACTGCCCCAAAACGTTTTAAAGCCTCTGATATCTCCTTGAGTGTCATTGGGTCAGCTCCTTTGCGCAGCTTCACCCCGGGATGTTCTTGAATCATTCTGAGGAGACGTGTGGGCCCCGAAAAAGCCATCCCCTGTTTAGATCGCACGAGCGCCACGCGCGTATCCCAAATCCCCCATGACGTGGTTTTGACTGTTTGGGAGTTTGGGACCAGCTTTGTCTTTGCGCGCAAGCACGTAGGAGGAATGCCAGAAGATCTTGGCAGCTCTGGCAGAGCTTGAGGCCTACACGGGAAGACGCGCATTAGTTCAAACTCAGGGTTTCAGTGTTTGTGAAGATTGGCGGAGCCCGCGGGTGTGCCGGATGGGTTGGAGACATGGGTGAGTGGAACCATGGGAGACTCTTTCTTTAGCCCGCCCCTACTCAATAAAGCAGGCGCCTACTTATATAATTAAGCAATGGGAGTAAGCTCCTAGCTACTTCAGCTTCTAGTAACTGGACGCAGGGTAGCGCTCGCACTAATGATTTGGCTCCTAGATTTTTAGGGAAACTTCACTAAGCCAAGTTCCACATGCTCACGCATTTCGATCGGTTGCCATTTGCTCATCACCTGCCTTAGCGAAACAGGTCAACGCAGCAGCGGCCGGCAGAGGACTGCACTGCTGTTTGAGGGTAGATGGCAAAGGTGAAATGACCAACGCCCACACAGTCTGACAACTACAACATGCCGGCGGCGTGATATAGGCATGACTCATGACAGAAAGCTTCCAGTGCTTCTTGGTACTACTTGTCGATGGTGCGGCATTTTTGAACTTCTTTTCTGTTTTCGTGGATTTGTCAACGTGCGCCTTCCGACACCTGAAGGCTTACATTCGGCCAACACTTTGGCCGTCGCTATTCCGAGGTGAGTTGCTGCGTGCGGGGGGTTCCTGGTTTACCGCCAACATAAGAAACCAATAGAAACCACAGGACTTGCAGACTTAGGTTGGGTATGTGACCAAGAGGCGGGTGGTGGACATTGTATCAGCTTCACTTTCGGCTTTTGGGTTGTTTGGTATTGCTTGGCCCAGTCAATGTGTGTTCACGAGAGCTGCACGGAAGCTCTCGTGATGTCACACTACTGAAATTTCATCCACAAGCTCCGCTGAGAGCCATTTGGGAGATGCTCCTTGTTTTCAAGGACTGTACTCAAGCAGATCTACTGTAGTTGAAACATGTCGGAACTTGAATCACAGTGCTGCTTTTTTTGAAATTAATCTAGGAACCAAATGAATAGTGCGAGCGCTTCTTCAAGGAAGCTCCCCCCAGGTGTCTCGGCTCAAAGGCTATTCACCTTACGCCCCCCCGCGAGGGCCGGGGTGGTGCTACCTGCACCTGGTGCAGGGGTACCACGTCCACAGACCTTAATTAGGCACACCCGCCTTAGGATCGCAATGGTGACCATGGAGACGAAGAGCGGAGATGGACTGCACGCTCAGGACAGCTTTATCCAGTGGGCTACTTCTGGCACGCCGTCCTCGCTGGGCCATTCCGCGCGCTCAGCTCTACAGGCCATTGCCATGACAGGTGAATGTATTGGTGGGAATGAGGACTGGGTTCTTTTTGGAGAAGTGACTGATGTGGTTGCCAGAGATCCTCTGCATGTCCAGGTCCGTCAAACCTCCATGCTGATGAATGATGACAGGTTGGATGATGTTTGGGCTCGGTTTGACATTGTTTGCCCTGTCAACCACAGCCGTGTGGACCTTACTCCGGGTATGTGGATCGGAATCTTTGTGAGACCAACTCAGCGATCAGTGGTTGGGAGGATCTATGCTGACAGTTCGGCCCCTCTCTGGAACCTGTCGCAACACAATGGTGATCTGGCGTGGAATGTCGCACACCTTTTTGCCGGTGCATATGAAGGATGGTTGCGAGCAATGTGGTGGCTCCAGCAAGGTAATTTTGGCTATTCGTTTGCCACCCATACATCAGTAGATTGGTGTCCGGATGTTATGCGTACTTGGAGTTTCAATCATGGGCGACCAGCTGCTCAGGTTCCTATTCCAGTTGACTTCAATCCCATGGAGGCCTTCATTGGGATTCAAGCTGACATAGGTGATATCAGTTTGCTACGAGCCACAGCGCGCAAGTCAAATCTTTTGATGACGCTTTCACCTCCGCGCCCAAGCTGGAGTCGAGGCGGGAAGAGCTCTGGGCTTGCCACTGATGAAGGGTTTTGCTTTATTGATGCCATCTTGCATGTTGCAAGGGTTCGACCCATCATGGCTCTCTTTGAATGTTCAGATGGAATTGAATCCCACCAGCATTGGCGAGCGATTTCTGCGGCGCTTCGGTTGGCAGGATACAGAAAAATCTGGTCCCAGGACGTGGCTATCCATCAATTGACAGGCAACTGTCGTACCCGCTGGCTTGCAGTATGGGCTCGGCAAGATATTGAAAGCGCCAAGATTGACGAACGATTCCTGTGTGCTGCAGCTCGAAGACTACCGTGGGATGATTCACGCCACATGTTCACGATTCCTCGGTCAAGGCAGTCGGAGTTGCTTCTTCAGCCCGAGCAACTTCAAGTTTATGGGGACAGAGGCCTGCTGCCCCCCGGTAAGAGGGCAAAGGTGTCTGAGAATGCTACAAGTGAGCAGATCTTGGAGCAGCGCCTTCTTCAGCAGGGAGAGTACTTGCCAACCCTTTGTGCTTCCTACACTGCACAACACCTCCTCAACAGAGAACATCTTGAGGCCAAAGGGATTTTTGCCACCCTGATCAGACAAAATGGTGATATTCGATTCATTGACCCCTTTGTCTTTGTGGTGCTTTTCGGCGCTACTGACTCGCTTGCACTGCCATCTGTTCTACGCAAAGCCTTCCACCAACTTGGCAATGGAATTTCTCAGCTTCATGCTTTGATTGCTATTCTTTTTGCCTTGGAGGGAGTCTCTGGAGAATCACATCCTAAGCTGGCTCTTGTGCAGCAATGTTGGGAAGATCGACTGACGGTTGACAAGGCGATGGTTCGGCAATGTGATGACATGTATGTGCTTCAGCCTTTGGCTGACTTCATTTCCAAAGCCATTCCGAGCATTGTCACTTGGCAGCCATGGTTGGCAGGGCACTCCATGATTCGATTCTGTGATGACATGACGCTCATTCCGCAGAACATTTTGGAAAGTGGCAAGGTCACTCAGAAACTTCTTGAGAGTCTTGATTTGGCTGAGCACCATGAGTCCCTTCTCCGAATCCAGTCTGATGGAAGAGATCTTCCTGGGGACCTTTCATGGAACAGGCTGCCCTCAGGTGATGTCACGGTCAAAATTGGGATCCACACTTTGTGCACTATCCATGTGATTCGGACAGATGAAAGGGCTAGGGAATATGACCCTATCACTTCCCCGACTCAACCCTGGTGCCAAGAGGAGGATGATCCGGAGTTTGAGCAAATCCAAGATGCATATAGGGCTGGATTCTTTCATGTTGCTGAGTATGTTTGCCAAGATCATGCACCACAGCAAACTGGGAAAATCCTTTTGCTCCAGCAGGATGGATCTTTCGAATGGATCAGAAACGCCAATCTTGATCGGCTTGGCAGCATTCCTTCCTTCCGGGATTCTGATACTTCCCTGTTCTTTATCAAGGTGAACCGAGATGCTTGTGTCCGATTGTTGGGTGTTCATGCCATTCTTGCAATTCGAGGCACATATGATCCAGTGAGCCAGGACAAATGGGTTCTTCTTGCAGGAGGACAAGGACTGCGACGGTGTAAGATATGCCAGGTTCCAAGGACCACCACCCCAAGAGCCTGCAATGAACTGCTAGGACAGCAGTGCCATATCACCATGCGCAATCTGGTTGAGTGCAGAGAAGATCAGCCGTTAATGCTCATCAATGGGGATGTGCTTTGGAGTGATACAAGAGTTACAGATGTGGTTTCCATTGCTTTTGGGAGAATGGATCGACTCTCTGATCAGCCCAGCTGCAATGTACGCAATGATCAGCTTGGTGCCAGATTGCTTCAGTTCAATTTGGAGCCAGGGTCCCTTGCAGTTGATGAAGTTGTTTTCCACTTTGACATCTTACAGACCCTGATGCCTTCCATATGCTGGTGTCACCCTGCGCAATGGGTCACGAATGAGGCACAGTTTCGTTTCCCCAATGAACCAGTCGATTTGCAGATGTGTTACCACCACTTTGTGGTCCCAATTCCTGTGGTCTTTGACTGGATCTTCGTTGAAGTCAGGTTTTTCGAAGGGCAATGGCGAACCCTTTATCACTCACCCGAGCAGCTGACCATTCGGCAGACCACTGCAGTGTGCTTGTCAACACCATGGGTATTCCGGTCGCATCCACTGCATACCGGTGGGTTAGAACACCTGAAGACTCAGAGCTTGCCTCCTGGCATACTCTCCGTACCTTCTACGCTCGTGCGGGTGCACCTCTGCTGCCAACAACACACCGTAGCGCACAGAGATTACAAAGAACGCACCGCTCCTCGCGTGTGATGCAAATTATTGATCAAGCCGATTTTGTCTAGAGGGAGACAAGAGCAGAAGAACGGATGGTGCATTTTGCACATGCTTCGAGGAATGCCTTCCTCCTCGCGATCACAGAATCGCCAAGTCGAGCAGCCGACTTTGTGCTTCGAGCTACCGGCAGAGCATTGCACTCATATGACATCCGTGAGATCTTCTTTGTAGCAGATGATTGGCTTGAAATGAGGCTCAATATCTATAGAACGCATCTTGGGTGGGCTACGAGTGATGAGATTGAATTTGCTTTGTGCTTCTTTCAGCCTGACACATTCTGCCCACCAGTTCTCCACCATGACCTCTCTGTGATAACTGCTGGAGTCAAAAACGATAGCAATAAGCTACAGAGGTTTGTTGCTCTCCGTGAGGAGCACTGGATTGGCATTGAAGTCATATGCAATGTTGATGAGCGCACATGCCGTACTGTTTTCCTGCAAGTCCCACTTCGGGATCATCAGTTCTGGCACGATCTTGCAATTGACTACATTGCCCCATTCGGCATCCGTCCAATCATCATCATTGATACAAACAGAACCTGGCCAGGCATGTGTGGGTGGGAGTTGCTCCATCGCTGGGTTGTTGCTGACATTCACTTGCCAGAAGGTTTCCATATACCGCAACAGAAGAGGCAGATTCTTGAAACCATTATCGAGGAATCTAGCCAAGTTTGGAGAGCAATTGGAGCGCCACCGATGCTGAGGACTTTTGCTGAGAATATGCGGAGACTGTTTCTTGTCGTTGGGGGTGCTCATTCTGTCCAGCCGTGTGCAACAGTCTCACTCGGTGGAACGGAAGGCCAAGCTAGTGCTGATACATCAATGCAAGTTGGTATATGAGTAGCAAGCAGTGAGCATACGGCTGCTCAGCATTCCAAGCAGCAGACCCGTGGCAAATTGATGACCCCTGGAAGGCCAAACGGAAACAAGTGAAGCAAAGCAAGTGGGAGGACCTCCAGCTCCAATCAGACCATCCGTTGTAGCCAAAGATAAGTCGCCGCTGCCCTTCGTTCAGAAGCAGCAGCTCTCGACAAACAAGGGAGGTATTGCCTTTGTCTCCGAAGGAAACCTACAACATGCTCGGGATGTGGAGCCCAAGGAAGCCTGCGCATTGTTTCTTCCACTTATTGATCCGACTGACCCGCTGTCCAAGATGCCCAATCTTTCTGGTCCGTTTGAAGTGATTGTCTTTGACCCAGCGCTGAACCAAGAATACAAACGACAGGTTCATGTGCTTGTGATCACGCCAGAGGTCCACTTCACCCTTCCAACGCCCTCCATCACGATGACGTTGGCAGCAGTCTGTGAGATTGTGCTGGAATGTGATGTGCGGCTTACCAACAAGGATGTCTTTCAGGGCTTCTATGACAACCCCTTGGCGAAAT